AGGCTGTCCTGGAACTCACTTTGTAGACCAGGCTGGCCTCGAACTCACAGAGATCCGCCTGCCTCTGCCTTCCGAGTGCTGGGACTAATGGCGTGCACCATCACCGCCCGGCTGACGGCACACACCTTTAATCCCAGCCCTGGGGAGATGGAAGCAGGCAGATAGATCACTGTGAATGGGAGGCCAGCCTGGTCTACAGTGTGTGTTTCAGGACAGCCAAAACCACACAGAGAAACCCTGTCTTGAAAAACTAAAATAAAAGAAAAGAAAGACCTCAGGACAGGTAGGTGTTAAACAGCAAAAAACTTGCTGGGTGAAAAAAAGCAAATCACAAGACACATAGCAATTACAGTATGAAAGTATGGGCCAAGGAGTGGGTAAGAGGGTTTGCCCCCAAACCTCATGGTTTGACACATGAGAATCTCTGTAAGTTTGAGGCTAGTTTGGTCAACACAGTGAGCTCCAGGACAGCCAGGGTTACATAGAGCCACAATCTCAAAAAACAAAACAAAACAAAAAGAAGCTGGGCGTTGGTGGTGCACACCTTTAATTCCAGCACTCGGGAGGCAGAGGCAGGTGGATCTCTGTGAGTTCAATTAAAAAAAATTCCTTGCAGCAGGGCGTTGGTGGCGCACGCCTTTAATCCCAGCACTTGGGAGGCAGAGGCAGGGGGATCTCTGTGAGTTCGAGGCCAGCCTGGTCTACAGAGCGAGTTCCAGGACAGCCTCCAAAGCCACAGAGAAACCCTGTGTGGAAAAACCACAAAAAAAAAAAAAAAAAAAGGATCTCGTCGGGCATGGTGGTGCATGCCTTTAATCCCAGCACTCAGGAGGCAGAGGCAAGTGGATTTCTGTGAGTTTGAGGCCAGCCTGGTCTTCCAGGACAGCCTCCAAAACAATACAGAGAAACCTGGTCTCAAAAATAAAAGCAAACAAAAAGGATCTCACTATGCAGCTCATTGTTATTTTTCTTACTCCTGTAACAAAATATCCGATTAAAGCAATTAACCAATTAGCTATATACCCAGATGCTTTTGAAAGACCCCTACCCAGGACCCCCCCTAGGAAAAGAAAAACAAGGCCAGGCCGTTGCCTAATGAAAAAACCCAGACCAGATGCCTCGCCCAGCTGGCAGGATGTCAAACAGGATCTGTGGTCACCAGAGCAGTCATGGGACCAGGATAATAATTGCTGAAGCGTGCTGGGGTCTTTCATGAGGTAATACCAGGAAACTTAGTCCGTGGGAACTACCCCTGCCCCCAAGATGAGCCAATGAAATGCCTGTTGCTATGCTGATACTTATGTAACCATTAAAACTCTATACATATTGTGCTCCCTGCAAGCCCGGTATGCTCTGCACCCGAGTTGCAGCAGCATCCGCAGGCGCCTGTGTACTCAATAAATCACCTCTTGCATTTGCATCCAGTGGTCTGGCCCTGGTTCTTGGGCAGAGGGTTCGGTTCAGTGCCCGGCGCTTTGATGCCGAGGTCTTTCACTTTCTACTTTTTCACATAATGTCTTTTGCTTAGATTGGTCCTACCTTGGCCACCCAAGCAGCTTTATTTGTTTTTACAAGTATGCATATGTTTCTGTGTGAGCTTAACTGTGGAGAGTGGAGGACAACCTTGAGTGTCATTTTAGGAACACAATCTACCTCCTTTTAGACAGTCATTGGCCTAAAGTGCACCAAATAAGCTAGACTGCCTAGCTAACAAGCCCTAGAGATCTTCCTGTATCTACCTGTTCAATGATGAGATTAAAAGTGTACACAGCATTTTTACATGGATTCTGGATATCACACTCGGATCCTCATGCTTGTAGCACATGCATTTTACCTATTTCTGCACTAAAAAACAAAAACAAACAACAACAACAACAAAAAAAAAAACCAACCCCAAAACTGTAGGAAAAAGGGACCAGTCAAAGAAACACACCTTGAGCAGAGACGAAGAAACACACTTTGGCCCTGCAACCAGAACTAAAGAAATGTACCCTGACCCTGAAACCAGTGCCAAGAGAACAAACTTTGTCCCTGGTATAAGAATCAGTAAAAGAAATGCAACCTGGCCCTAAAATTGGAGCCAAAAGGCTAAAAAGGACCAGAGAAAGATACACACTTTGGCCCTGAAAGCAGAGCCAAATCTGACCCTAATCCTGTGCAGAAAACTAACCAATCCCTGAGCAGAGCTCTAGCCAATCTGTGCTCAGCACTAAAATCTGACCAATCCCCACCCTGGAAGCCCTATACAAGTCTGCTCAGCTTGTGGCTGTTTGGCTATCTGGCTGTCCTCTGTCACTCTGTCAGAGGGCAGCCACTCTCTTGGATTCTTTCCTCCCAATAAACCCCTTCAGTGAGCTTTGGGCAAAGATCTTTTGCAGTGGCAGAGCAGAGGTGACCATGGGCAGAGGAGAGCAAGCAGACAGAGAAGTGCAATCGGGGCTGTAACTTTTGCCCCTGGGAAACCTTCCCCTGGCAGAGCAGAGTCAGCTCTCCACTCTCTGGAAGCAGAGCTGAACTGTAGCAACTTCACCCGAGAAACCTCCTGCCCAGAAAAACTGCTACACTGGGCGAACATCCCCAGCTGGAAGACCCTGTCCTGCAGGAGCGTAGCTGATACACTGAAGAAGCCTTTCCCTGAGGCAAGGCTGTAAGCTGCTAAGCTTACTACAACCTGTGGTGGTCCTTGGCTCCCGAGCTCCAGGATACCTTTCCATCTGAGCTCTGTAACACTCAGTATTCTGTGACTCCCGAGTGCCAGAATACCTGTCCCATCCCAATCTGCCCGAAATGCCTACAAAAACCACAGAGCAGTGCTGGTGCAGGACTTTAATCCCAGCACCTGGAAGGCAGAGCTAGGTGGATCTCTGGAAGTTAGAGGCCAGCCTGGTCTACAGAGTACATTCCAGGACAGGCTCCAAAAGTACAGAGAAAAGCTGTCTCAAAAAACAAAAATAAAACAAAACCCAAAAACATTCTTCACAAATAACTGAGCCTCTGGTATTTCGCAAAATTACAGGAAACAGCCTCACTTTTCTCTTTCAAACTTTCACCACACTGTGAAGAGTAGATGAAGATAATGCATGTATAGGCAGCATTTTCTGGCATTTATTTATTTATTATGTACACAGTATTGTGTCTGCATGTATCCCTGCAGGCCAGAAGAGGGCACCAGATCTCACTACGGATGGTTGTGAGCCACCATGTGGTTGCTGGGAATTGAATTCAAGACCTCTGAAGGGCAGCCAGCTCTTAACCTCTGAGCCATCTCTCCAGCCCCCCCTGGCAATTTCTTTAAAGCAAAAAATGATAGGCACTAGAGTGATGGCTCAGAGGATAAGCACTGACTGCTCTTCCAGAGGTCCTGAGTTCAATTCCCAGCAACCACATGGTGGCTCACAACCATCTATAATGAGATCTGAGCGCCTCTTCTGACGTGCAAGAAAAACACTGTATATGTAATAAGTAAATCTTTAAAAAAAGAAAATGAGCTGGGCGGTGGTGGCACACACCTTTAATCCCAGCACTCGGGAGGCAGAGGCAGGCGGATCTCTGTGAGTTCGAGGCCGGGCTGGTCTACAAGAGCTAGTTCCAGGACAGCCACAGAGAAACCCTGTCTCGAGAGAAAAAAAAAAAAAAAAAGAGACCACACTAAATTGGTCATGGTGGTGCTTGCCCTTTAATCTCTGCACTCAGGAGGTGGAGACAGGAGTTCAAGATCATTGGTGCTACCATAGTGAGTTTGAGGTTAACCTGCTCTACAGGACTCTCGACGATTTCTATTTAGCTCAGTTCTACTGTTTGTCCATCTACTGTTTACAGACCAAATTTGTTGAGTTTGTTTGCTAGTGGGGATTCTGCAGTCAGAGTCAGGGTGAAAAAAAGCATACAAGAAGACAATCCCACTAACAGGCCCACTCTTTTGATAATCCGGCCATCCATAAGCAGAGTTCTCATCACCTAACCATTTCTTGTATTAGTTACTGTTAAGGTACTTGCCCTAAACCTGATGACCTGAATTTGATCCCTGGAACCCACATAACACTAGAGAACTGACAAACTATTCTCTGAACTCATAGCACCCCAGCCCACATAAAAAATAGTAAAAATTGTAAGGCAGACTAAGGAAAGCATTTGTTTTGTCTTATAGTTTGATAAGGGAGAGTCCTTTGTGGCAGAGAAGGAATGCTGGCAAGAACCCGAGCAGCTGAATGGAACAAAGCAGACTGACTAATGCTGGTGCTCAACTCATTTCTCCCCAAGACAGGGTTTTCTCTGTGTAGCTTTGCAGACTTTTCTGGAATTCACTCTGTAGACTAGGCTGGTCTTGATCAGCCTGCCTGTTTACCCAGGGCTGGGATTAAAGGTGCATGCCACCACCGCCACAAGGCTCAACTCATTCTTTCTGTTCAGTCCTGACCAGAATGGTACTATCCATCGATTCAGGATGCATCTTCTCTTAGGTAAACTCTGGAAAAGCCCCTGAATTATGCTCAAAGGTATGCATCCTGGGTCATTCAAAATGCTACTGACAATGAAGGTTAATCATCACATATAGTGAAGGACCTGCCTGTTAATACCTCCCCATGGAGATTATGTTTTACCTTAGTCTTGTTGGAGATATTGAAACCATTGTAGAGGCTTAGGAGGGTAAAGAAACTTGCCCAGAGCAATTCAGCTGTGGGGCAGGCGTCCTACCCATAGTCTTGTGAAGCCAGATCCTGTCCTGGCTAGTACATCTACCCTCCCTATGCAGGTTAATGGTTTATGAGGATGGCAATACTCACAGGATCTCTGCCCATCAGTGACCCAGAGCCAGCAGCAGAGCTCTGGGTCCCATTCTACTAGGCTACTCCTCCCTCATGACTTCACACCAGACCCTGGCTCCATTCAGTCTCCCTCAAGGTGCAGCATAGCAAACCGTACCCACCAGACACCAGTCTCCCCTCGGATACGACTTTCATGTAAGTATGACAGCAACAAAGCAGCATCGAAGCCTTTATTCATGTGAGCTGTTAAAAATGTGCATCTATGCCAGTGTCAGATGAGGATGGGAGAGGAAGGCAGGGTGGCCAAGGAGAAGGGATTCCCGTCTACTGGTAATACAGCTCCAGGTTCATCCCATCATGGATTTCATCTGAAGACAGGTATTAAGGAATTTTCACTAGGGCTAAGTCTACCCTTAACCCATTCACAGTTGGATCCTTGTGGAATGAGGAAGCAATTTTGGAATGTGCACTTTGATCTAAGAACTCAAACTATAAATAATGTACAGTGGCCCTCAAGACCACTGAGAAAGCAAAATTGCTTGCCATCAAAGCCTGGTAGATTCTCGAGTGCCCCACACCCCCAGGCCGTCACACACAGCAGTGATTGACACATTTTCTTAAATGTTCACACTCAGGCTGAAGACAGCTCAGCAGTTGAAGGGCACTCACGGCTGCTCTTGCAGAGGAACTCGGTTCAACCCCAGCACGCACACGCGGTCCCAGGGAATCTGAAGCTTCCTTCTGGCCTAAGTCAGCACCAGGCACGAGTGTGCACAAACGTAATTGCAGCAAAAGACCCAGAACCTCTCCCCCCACCCCCATTAAAAACCATACTGGTTGTCAACTCGTTATATCCGAGTTATATCCACCTTCACTTCCTGTCCAACATCCATGTGCTGTTCAGTCATAAATATTTTGAACCTCAATGTCAAAATCCTTCTGAACCAAATTAAACTATTCCACCACCCTTCTCACCTACAAAATAAATCCATACTTCCCATTTCTCAGTAGTCTCTATAGGTCACGTTCTAAGTTAAACATCCCGACAAGGTTTAAGTATAGAACCAGAACTCAAGTATATGGATTCTTTCACAAAAGTCAGGAAAAGGATACAATCTCCCAGAGACACGTGGTCCTTAAAAATCGTGTACCTACGGGAGAGATATCTTTCAGAGAGAAGCTTATTTGGCTGGGTGGGGGGGGTGGGCTTTTGTCTTGAAAGCTGGCTGAGCCCTCATCGGCGTTGCCTGAGGCACTCCCCCAACCTAAACCTTCTAGCCTAATCCCGACCAGCCTGCACTTACCACTTTTTAAGAACGATCTTATTCCAACGGGTGCCAGTTTGGGCCGCTATCAGTTTCTTCAAGTCCCCGATGGTGTCATCGGTGCTGGGCACGAAGGAGTTAAGGTAAATGGAAGGAAGAAGTAGAACGAGGAGAACGATATTAGGCCTCCCCATCTACGTCATTTAACTACAATTTGCCCAACACCACCAACTGCCCCAGAGACCACTGCGGGTCACCCCTGGGTGGATACTTGCACTTGACGCGGACTTTCTTTCCTAGACGGTCGTTGCAAACAACCTCAATCATTGTGGCTGGAGCTGCACCGGGTGGAGGCAGAGGATGGAAGACGGATGAGTAAGAACTCTGGTGACCGCCCAGGCGCCCAAAGTCCCTTCCCGAGTTGAGTTCTTTGTTCACACTACCCCGAGCCCAAAACCCCGGCAGCCCCAGGCCAGGGTCTCAATGGCGGGGACACAGACAGTCGCGCCTCCGTCCCGAACTCCCGCAGGCCCAGCCCCGGACCTCCGGCTTCGTCTCCCGCAGCCCCTCGATTCCCGAGTTTCAGCCGCTTCCCGTGATCCCGGGAATCAGTTTAGCTCCCTCACCTCTAATCCCCTCGAATCTGTCGACGACACAACTTGTAGCTCGAACGCTGAGCCCTTGCCCGATTTAGGGCTAGTAGCAGGAAGCGGAAGTGATATAACGGAAACATCCGCCCTTAGGTGCTTCCGGATTCCGGTCTTTCAAAGATGCGATTCTGTGGCGCAGTTTTGTTGAGCCGAGGCTGGGTAAGAAGACTGTGAGATTAAGTGACCGTCCGAGTAGATTTACAGCCGACGCTGGGGGCGGTGCTGGAGACCCCTTTGCTGTGGAACCTCCCAACGCAGAGTCCCGGCTGCCGAGGGACGGAACTGGGGTCCCGCGGGTCCCCTGGCTGTCGGGCTCTCCGATTTCATTCAAAGCTCAGTCTCGGACCCCGAGCTTGCCTTTGCCCTCTGACTATAGTGACTGTTTCCGACATGCTGCTTACCACCCCGTGTGTCGGCGTCCGACCTGCGAAGATGATGGGAACAGCATACAGGAAAAGAACGTTTTCTTTTTTAAAAAAGCTTCAAGGAACACCTTCTTACATAATTGCGAGAGCTGATGGGAAAGGAATCCCTCCCTAAATTCAACCAGTTCCCACCTCTACGGAACGATTTATTCCTTCGTAGCAGACAATACTCTCAGTAAGGTAAGCATATATATAGACTCATTTTTAAAGAGTAGCTTCATTTTTTTTTGAGATGGGCTATCAATATATAGACCAAACTGATCTCGAATTTGTGAGACTCCTGTCCACCCTCGGAAGTTGCTGGTATTATATAGGCCTGTGTATTAGAAGCTATCCTGGTCTATAGCGAGTTCCAGAACAGAGCTATTGTAGAGAGACTGTTTCAAAAAGAAAAAGAAAAATCTACCAGGACCTTGTTCTTAGCTAATACCACTTATACAAAATTTATCCTTATGAGTAGGCAGAAAAAAGCATTACTTTTTCTTTTTATTGCGACTTGTGGCCACGCCTCCCTGCAGTCCTGCTGGCCCCCAGCCTCACCCCAGATACATCTTTCGGTCTGGAATGAAGTCTTCATTCACGTCCTTAGTGCTTTGATCTGTTCCATCCTCTCCCCAGTGCCTCGTTTCCGTTAGGAAAATACTTCCCAGGCTCAAGCATACGTACCAGAAAAATGGGGTTTCTTGCTTTCCTTTTCTTCCCTTTTTTCTTTTCCTTTCCTTTCCCTCTTTCCTTTCTTTGATGTTGGAGATCGAACCTAGGGCCTCTTTTAGCATGTTAGCCAAAGGCTCTCCCACTGAGCTGCACACCCAACTCCTTGCTTAGCTCTTGTTTCTGCCTCCAGCGATGCTTTTAGGGCTCTGTTCCTGCTCTTAACCATTCCTCAGGCCCCCAACCCCTCCCTGCGACACCCATCCATTCCAAACTTGACCCAACCCTCTATATCTGACGTTGTTCCTTCTAAGCTAGGCTTTACAAGTTTAGTCATCGGCCCCAGCTAGGACCCCTGGTTCTTGACACACCTCTGAGCCCCTTCAAGTTATGGTTTCTGGTTTTGCGGCTCTGTTAGCTTTCTCCTACCCAAGTCATGCCTTCTGGGCATAAGGTCAGGTCCCAGCCTGGTGTCTGACTTGGCCACATCCCTGAATCTCTTCCAGCTCAAGTACAGTCTCTGGGCACGCCACTAGTGCCTTGGTGATAGGCGCACCGGCTGACCTCTTCCTACTGAAGCCACGCCTTCCTACTGAGGCTGACAACCTCCCATCTGCTCCTCTGACCCTGGCTACACCCTCCACTCAGGCGCGTTTTTTCAAAATGCCACGCCCCAAACACATCTCCCCTGTCTCTCGGTCTCGTCTCCCTCTCTGTCTCCCTTCCTCTTCCCCCTCCCCCGGAGCCCCGTCTTTTAGGCGTGCGTCTTCAGTCTGCCCCGAACCTCGTCTATACACGCCTCGGCCGCCACGTCTCCTGGCTCTGGCCACGCCCTGAGCCCTCTTCTGCCGGAGCCACGCCTCCTCGGCTGCCCCTGGCTCCTTTGGATTTGCTGCTACACTTAGCTCCACCTCCTGGCCACGCCTCCGGGACGTCCTCGCCACTCCTTCTGGGCTCGCTGCTCCTCCCCGGCCTGGCCGCGCCCTGCACCCTCTCCTCTCTCAAGCCACACCTTCTGGGTTTGCTACCCTCGGTGCCACCCGCAGGCCAAGTCAGTCAGGCCTGGGCAGACACCAGCCCCGGCCTCCAGCCGGCGGAGAAGCCGGCCCGGCCCAGCTCCGGGTCTCAGCCACATTCCCAGGAACGGAAAGCAGGGCTTCTAGGCAGGCCGCCCAAAGTCGGGCCGGTTTGGCCAGTCCGGCCACCTAAGCGCCCTCAGGGGAGCCCGGGCCTCGCCGCCACCGGAAACGGAAGCGTGGGACAGCAGGACCATGGCGACGCTGTTTGACCTCCCGGACTTGGTGCTCTTGGAGATCTTCTCATACCTCCCGGTCCGGGACCGGATCCGCATCTCCAGGTGCGGCCCCGCTCCTCGGGGGAAAGAGCCGGGCAGGGGCTCGGCAGGAGATGCGAATCCGGTCCCAGCGGGCCAGGGTCGTTCTAACGGCCGGTCCACCCCTCCAGGGTCTGTCATCACTGGAAGAGGCTAGTGGACGACCGGTGGTTGTGGCGACATGTCGACCTGACGCTCTACACGGTATGCGGCACGCGGGACCCGCGGGCGGTGCTCGGAGAGCCCTGGGGCAGAGTGGGGTCTGCTTTGTTTTGTTTTCTAGTGCTTGTTTGCTCATTTATATATTTATTTGAGGCTTATTTTTTTCCAGATATTTTGCTTTTTCTTGGGGGGAAGAGGAGGTTGTTTTGAGACAGGATCTCTAGCTCAGACTGGCCTCCAGATTCCTAGGAAGCTGAGGATGACCTCGAATTTCTGATCCACCTCGCCCTTCTAGATACTGGGATTACCAGCATGGGCGCCTATGACTGGCTTCTGTGATGCTGGGAATGGAATTTAGGCTTCCTGAATGCTAGGAAAGCACTCTACCGACTGAGCCATGTACACCAACTCACTACAACTCCCCTCAGCCTCCTGAGTGCTAAGATTACAGGTGTGGGCCACTCTGTCTGGCCCAGGAAGTGTTTGGTTTTTCTGGTTTTTGCTTTTTTCCCACTCATGACAGGGTTTCTCTGTAGTCCTGGCTGTCCTGGAACATGCTTGCTTTATCCCCCTGCCTCTCCCTCTAAAGGCTGAGTGTGGACCACCATAGCCAGCTGGTTTGGTTTGGTTTTGAAGTGAGTTCATGCTTGGAATTTCCTGAATGTCTATCCTGACACTAGCCTTTACCTCCTCCTCTCCCTCCTCAGCAACCCCCAGACCTCAGTTTCTCATCCAAAAAAGTGGGGATTAAAGAGTGCTTGCTGGACCCTGTTGAAGCTCTGGGCTCCATCCCTAACACCAAGAAAAAAAGAAAAATTACCTACCTGTCTGGTGTATTGTAGGACTTAGTCAGTTGCATAGGGAGCTGGTTTAGACCAGTGTCTGGTCTCCAGCATATGGTTAATACAAACTTATAACTACTCGCAATTTTCTGGTTTTGTTGTTCTCTTTTGGTTTTTGAGAAGGGTTTCTGTATCCCAAAATAGATTTAGCTATAACTGTTGATCTCAAAGTGGACAAGAGTTTATTCTGGAGCCAAATATGAGTGACCATGGCTTGAGAATACAGTTAAATTTCCTCAAATACATGTTCAAACCTAACAGTTACATAGAATTTTACTTTTTTTATCTTTTTTTTAGACAGGGTTTCTCTGTGAGTCCTGGAACTCACTCTCTAGACCAACCAGGCTGGCCTTGGAATTCAATGGATCTCCTGAGTACTGGGATTAAAGGTGTTGGTTGCTACCACTCAGGGAAATCTTATAGTAACAGAATAAACAAACTCATAAATGGTCTGGTGTTGGTGGTGCACGCCTTTAGTTCCAGCACTCGGGAGACAGAGGTAGGCTGATCTCTGTGAGTTTGAGACAAGTCTGGTCTATAAGAGCTAGTTCTTGTTTCAAAGCCACAGAGAAACCCTGTCTCAAAAACCAAAAAGAAAAGAAAAGAAAAAGAAAAAAAGAAACTCATAAGTCAAAATGCCTTTTTAAAGGATGAACCATCTCTCCAGCAACTACACAAAATAATTTAAAAAAGAAAAAAAGCTTTGGAGGCTGTCCTGGAACTTGCTTGGTAGTCCAGGCTGGTCTCGAACTCACAGAGATCCGCCTGCCTCTGCCTCCCGAGTGCTGGGATTAAAGGCGTGCGCCACCAACGCCTGGCTCGAAAAAAAGATTTTAATTTCTGAAAAAGTGGTCAACAAAATTTATGCCTTAAAGCTGAGCCTGATACAGATCTGTAATCCCAGCTACTGCAGAGGCTGAGGGAGGAAGATCATAAATTCAAGGCCAGCCTGGGCAACTTAGCTGGACCTGTCTTGAAATACAAATTCAGGCAGGCGGATCTCTGTGAGTTCAAGGCCAGCCTGGTCTACAAAGTGAGTTCCAGGACAGCTCCAAAGCTACAGAGAAACCCTGTCTCGAAAAACCAAAAAAAAAAAAAAAAAAGAAATACAAATTCAGAAAAGGCCTGGAACCGTGACTTAGTCCTAGAGTATTTTTCATGCCTGTATGAGGTCCTGAGTTTATTCCCAGTACCACCAAAACCAAGTGTATGTTCTGAGCTGGGGTATAGCTGAGTTCATGGCATGTCCTTAATATGTGTGAGGTCCTAGGTTCCATGGTTCCATCCCAACCCCAGCAATGAATCGCTTTTGTTTTGTTTTGTTTTGTTTCTCTGTATGGCTTTGGAGCCTATCCTGGCTCTCGCTGTGGAGACTAGGCTGGCCTTGAACTCACAAAGATTCACCTGCCTCTGCCTCCCTTCTCTTTGGGAAAAAAAAGTGCATTTTTGTGTATGCACGGGTGCAAATGCATATGTGTAGAGGATCATGTAGAGGCCAGAGGTTAATGAGGGCATCTTCCGCCCTCCGCCCTCACACACACACACACACACACACACACACACACACACACACACACACACACATTTTGTTCGAGACAGGATCTCACTATATAGTCTGAACTTGGTATGGAATTTAGAGAGATTTCCCTGCCTCTGTGCCCACCAGTGCTGAGATGAAAGGTGTGTGTCATAACCCTGGACTCTGCCTTGTTTGTGTTTGAGACAGGATCTTCCGCTGAACTTGGAGTGACTAGACAGGCTGGCCAGAATTGTGGATCCTCCTGCCTCACCCTTCCCTGTGTGCTGGCTGGATTTAAGAGCATGAGTCTTGATACCCAGCAAAAGAAACTGCCTTGCTTTAGGGAAGGAAGCTGGCAGAAGAACCGAATCCCAGGGGGACAGCAGAACCCAGGTGCTAAGCATCTGTTCCCAGATAGGTGGATCCTCTGGGAGCCCCCATACCTCTCACCCAGTCACCCCACTCTCTGGCTCTTACAGATGCGTCCAAAAGTCATGTGGCACCTTCTGCGCCGATACATGGCATCCCGGCTCCACTCACTGCGCATGGGCGGCTACCTGTTCTCTGGCTCTCAGGCCCCACAGCTGTCCCCTGCCTTGATGCGGGCTCTGGGCCAGAAGTGCCCCAACCTGAGGCGCCTGTGCCTGCATGTGGCTGACCTGAGCATGGTGCCTATCACCAGCCTGCCCAGCACGCTGAGGACCCTGGAGCTGCACAGCTGCGAGATCTCAATGATCTGGCTGCAGAAGGAGCAGGACCCTACAGTGCTGCCACTGCTGGAATGCATCGTGCTGGACCGAGTGCCGGCCTTCCGTGACGAGCACCTGCAGGGCCTTACCCGCTTCCGAGCCCTGCGCTCACTGGTGCTGGGTGGCACCTACCGAGTCACGGAGACCGGGCTGGATACCAGCCTGCAGGAGCTCAGCTACCTGCAGAGGCTGGAGGTGCTGGGCTGTACCCTGTCAGCCGACAGTACCCTGTTAGCCATCAGCCGCCACCTCCGAGATGTGCGTAAGATTAGGCTGACCGTTGGGGGCCTCTCAGCCCAAGGCCTGGTCTTCCTGGAGGGAATGCCTGCCCTGGAGAGTTTGTGCTTCCAGGGGCCCCTCATCACCCCAGAAATGCCCACACCCGCTCAGATTGTGGCCTCCTGCCTTACTATGCCTAAGCTCAGAGTGCTTGAGGTGCAAGGGCTGGGCTGGGAGGGCCAGGAAGCAGAGAGGGTCCTGTGCAAGGGCCTACCCCACTGCATGGTAATTGTCAGGGCCTGTCCCAAAGAATCCATGGATTGGTGGATGTGAAGACACCACCCTCCCATCCATCCCTGGGACCTATCCTAGCCTTTAAAGTTGACCTTCTAAGCAGCAAACTGAAGCATGTAAATTAACCAGCCTTGAGGAAACTGTAGGTCACAAGGAAAAGAAGCTAGAAACTTGGGACCTGCAGAGCTGGGGTTGTCTGCCATTTGTATGACCTCAGCCTTGCCACCCAGCCCAGCTGGGGAGGCCCAGTTCACACTTTTAGGAAATGGCATCATAGCTACCTCATGATTCATTTGCAAATCTCCCCCCCCACACACACACCTTTTCCCCAGGACCTGGGCATCAAACCCACAGCCTTAGGTATATTAGTCCAGCACTGCTGTGCTCCTGAGCTATACTGGAGCCCTGGAACGCCTTAATCTCTAATAGACCCCAGAAGACCACTGTAGAGGGGTCATCTTACAGATGGACAGGGTTCAGGGCTCTGTGGTCTGCCTAGTTGTCTGCCTATATGCTTGGGAGATGAAGTAAGGGGCAAGGGAGATAAGCTGTTGAATTGTCCTAGTGTTCTAAAAGGTTCTCAATTGTGTTTTCTGTATTTTGTATCCTGCCTTTTTCAAGTTTTCTACATCATATAGTATTTTACTATTAAAGAAGATGAATGATTTTTTTTCAAAGTATATTCCATTTATTTAACAGGGGTTGCTCCTCACCCAGCACTTAATATTCACAGACAGCTTTATTTATCCTTTTTTATTATAGTAACTTATTTTGTGTTCATGTGTGCGCGCACTATAGTACATATGGAGGCCAGATGACACTTGTGGGAGTCGGGTCTTTCCTTCTGTCCTGTGAGTTGTAGGGATCAAATCTAAGTGACAAGTGCCTATACTGTTGAGCCATCTTACCAGGGTATTATTTTTAGGCAGGAGCTCATAATTTCAACTCCTAATATTCCTCCTCCCAAGTGCTGGGATTTTAGATGTATATTTGTGAGATGCTGAGGATGGAGCCCAGGGTTCTGAGCACCAGGTACGTGCTCTACCCACTGAGGCCCATTACCAGCCCCTTCTGGGCACCTTTCTAGGTACTGGGCTACACAGTGAACAGAGGGAAGACCCTGCAGCTGCGCTGTAGATGGCAGGGGGTCTAAGGAAGTAAACACATCTATGGCCTGACATGGCACAGACCTGTCCAGTATTCAGGAGGCTAAGGCAAGTTTGAGGTCAGCCTGGGCTACAGTAGAATGAGACCCAATCTCGAAAACGAAAACACATCCTTGGGATCATTTCAGAGCCCCTCAGGTGGTGAGCCAGGGTTGTGTCTTGGGATACAGATACCTGGTAGAGAGGGTAGGGTGGACCTCAGAAGTCTGAGAGGTGAAGAGACACAAGATGTGAGGACATCTAGGGATGACAGGAAAGGCCACAACTGAGATTGTGAGTTTGATCCCTATGGTGACTAGAGAACTGACTCCTGCAAATTGTCCTCTGATGTACACACATATGCTATGGCACAAGTAGATACCTGCATTTGCATCCGTGTATGCACATACACATGCACGCACGCAGCAACAAAAAGATCCTGAGATGGGGAATGAATTAGGCATTTCTAGAGATAAGAACATTTCTGTAGCATAGTCAACAAGGGAGAGAGATGGAGTCTGTCAGGTCAGAGAGATGGGGCAGGGCCTGTTTGTGGGGCTCAGTGTGTACTGGTGCCTCTTCCTGTTTTTGGAGTTGAAATAGCTTGATCCTGCAGGTGCCAACTGCTTGATGACACTGAGCACATGCCTTTGATATGAGCATGGGGGGTAATGCACATCTGTGGTCCTTACCACCTGCTGTGGGTGGAGCCAGGGGTGCAGAGAGCTGAGTTAGAGGCATTCACTTCTTATTCCAAGCTCACCCATCAGAGGGGAGCTGCTATGTTTCTTGCCTTAGAATACAATCTTCATGTGGGCCTTCAAGGGGATTCAGAGCCACTCAGGTGACCCATTCACGTGGGACTTGGTATTTTTATTTCTGCCACTTGGAACTTTAGGTTATCTGTTGAAGCTCTAAACCCAGAGGTAACTACATTAGAAGATATGTGTTTGGTAGGGAATTAGGGTAAAAGGGCAAGTCCCTCATGAATACGATTAGTGTCCCTATCGAAGATAATTCTGAGAATGGCTAGGCATGAGGTCCTAAGTTCAAATCCCCCACCAGCCACAGAGAAAGCCTGGTGAGGTTATGCCAGTCTAGCTCCTGTTTCAGGGAGAGACCTGGTCAGTCATAAGGGAACAAGACAGAAAGTGACAGCAGCATATCTTAGCATGTGCACATTTGTGCAGCCTTCTTCCCCTGCATAATTAAGAACTGCTCCTTAGATCCTCTGAGGACATAGAGGAAAGGCAGATACCACACCTACTGCTTGATCTTGGACTCTGAAGCTTCTGTAGTTGTAACCAATACCTTTCTGGGTTTGCTTGGAGAGGGGTTGGGTGGTATGTGAGTGCAGTCATGTGTATGACAGTCAGACGCCAACTTTCAGAAGTCAGATCTATCCTTCCACTGTGGGTTTCTAGGATCAAAGAAAGCCAGGTGGTCAAGCTTGTGGAGCAAGCATCTTTACCCACTGAGCTCTCTTTAATTTTTTGAGACAAGGTCTCCCTATGCTGGCATTAACTCACTATGTAGATGAAGCTGGCCTTGAACTTGTGGTTTTCATGCCTCTGCTTCCTCTGTGCTGGGATTAAAGGTGTGTGCTACCATGCCTGGCCAATATTTATTTTAGTTCTAATTGCCAGTGTGTATGTGCACACACTCTGAAGTTGTTCTAGGTGACTAGAAGAAGGCATTGTATTCCCTGGAACTGGAGTTAAGGTGCTTATAAGATGACAGATGTGAGTGCTGGGAACTGCACTCAGGTCTTCTGAAAGCAGCATCTCTCTGAGAGAGCCATCTCTCCAGGCTAGCGATCAAAATATGAGAGGATAATGTTGATTCTGGAGCTCTAGGTCATTCGGGGGCTCCCTAATGCACCAAGGCCCAAAGCAGAACTCAACGATTTTTTTTTCTTTTTAAAAATTATCCTTGGCTGGGTGGTAGTGGTGTACACCTTTAATCCCATCAATCAGGAGACAGAACCTCCAGATATATGTATGTATTGTGTATTGTGTGTATGTGTATGGAGGTTCACATGTATGTATTATAAGGACTGTGGAGGTCAGAGGACAGCTTATGTGCCTCTGCACTCTCCTTCCTCCTGGGATCTAACTCAGGTGTCAGTCTTGGTGGCAGACATCTTTACCCACTGAGCTGCCATCTAGGCCTGAGTTCAACATTTTTAGTTTTCCAGAAAGCTCTTTGCAGTCATGTCACTCCTCCGACTTCATACTTAACTACTTTCTATTCTGCTTGACTTGCTCAAACCCAGACACTGATTTCAGAGGCCAAGTCATCTCTTGCCACAGGGACTTCAAACTTGTCTTTCTTTCTTGTTGTAGGCATTCAAACTTTCTTAACTCAGCATTTTGCTGAGGGTGAACTGGAAAGGCCAGCAGCTGTGGAGTGGTGTCTGGAGGCATATCTCGAAGCTACTGCCAGTAACTTTTTGGGGGTTTTTTTTGAGACAGGGTTTCTCTGTGTAGCCCTGGCTGTCCTGGAACTAACTCTGTAGACCAGGCTGGTTTCGAACTCACAGAGATCTGCCTGCCTCTGCCTCCCTAGTGCTGGGATTAAAGGTGTGTACCACCAACACCCATCCCATGCAGTTCTTTTAAGAAACCTTTACTCCAGGAAGTCATGTGGTAGCTATTCTTGGTTATCAACTAGACTGTACCTGGAATTCTAAAACCCAAAAATAGAGGGCATATCTGTGGGTGATTTTTGTTTAATTTGGAGTAGGAAGATGCATTTCTAATTAGGTTTTTTGAGTTCGGAAGGCACACCTTTAATCCAGATCTTTTGAGCCAAGACAAGACACATTTACTCCAGACCTGGAGGCGGGAGGACACACCTCCTGAAGACTAAATAAGGACACGGAGAAGGACACTTTTGCTCTTTGCCTGCTTGCCCTGGGCTTCCTAGAACACCCATTCCTTCACTGGCCTGCTTTTTCTGAAGACCAGCTGAGACATCTAGCCTAATGAGGCTGAGCAACTACTAGATTCTTGGACTTTTCGTTCATAGCTAGCTATTGTTGGATTAGCTGAACTGCATCCTGTAAATCACTCGGGAGGCAGAGACAGGTGGATCTCTGTGAGTTCAAGGCCAGCCTGGTTTACAGAGCTAGTTCCAGGACAGCCTCCATAGCCACAGAAAAACCCTGTTTCCAAAACAAAACAAAAACAAACAAAAAAAGAAGTTGGCAGAATTCTCACATTGGTTCCCTGACTTGTGGAGTAAGGGCTACTATGGTTGGAAAGGCTAAGTGGAAGCCTTTAGAGTTGCCTCTGCCAGGGAAGATAGTAAATCAAAAACAGTATGGCATCCCTGGAAGAACTGCAGAAATTAGAGACACCATCAAGGACTTAGAAGATGCAGGGGTGGTGGCTCCGACCACCTCTCCCTTTAACTCTAGGATCTGGCTAGTGCAGAAGGTGATGGATCATGGAGAATGACAGCCGACTACTGAACACTCAGTCAGGAAGTGACTCTGAGCTGCTGGACTACATGCGTTGTCCTTACTTGAGCAGATTAACACACCTCCCAGTACATGATATGCAGCTATTGATCTAGCTAGCCAATGTCTTTTTCTGGTACCAGTTCATAAAGATCATCAGAAGCAATTTGCTTTCAGCTGGCAAAGCTAGCAGTACATGTCTTAGTTAAGGTTCCTATTGCCGTGAAGAGACACCATGACCATGACAATTCTTATAAAGAAAACATTTCACTGGGGTGGCTCGCTTATAGTTCAGAGGTTCAGTCCATTATCATGACTGGGAGCATGGTGGTGTGCAGGCAGATGTGCTGGAACTGAGAGCGCTACATCTTATAGGCAACAGGAAGTCAACTGACTGTCACACTGAGGAAAATTTGGAAGAAAAAAAAAAGAAAAACCTTAAAGCCTGCCCCTACATGAAACACTTCCTCCAACAAGGCCATACCTCCTAATAATGTAATTTTCTTCAAACCACCACAGTATACCTTTACATTATTTTTGTTTGTTTGTTTTTGGTGTTTTGTTTTGTTTTTCGAGACAGGGTTTCTCTGTATTGCTTTGGAGCACTCACTCTGTAGACCAGGCTGGCCTCGGGAATTCATAGAGATCCACCTGCTTCTGCCTACCAAGTGCTGGAATTAAATACCTTTACAGGTTTACCTCAAGGATATATTAACTCTCCAGCCCTGTGTCATCATTAGAAGAGATCTTGTTCATCTGTCTCATTCACAAAACATCCCATTTGTGCACTATATTGATGACATTGTAGTAATTGGACCAAGTGAGCAGGAAGTAGCAACCACTGTGAACTCATTGGTAACACATGCATATAAGAAGATGGGAAATAAATTCAACCAAAATTAAACTGCCTTCTACCTCAGTGAAATTCTTAGGAGTCCAGTGATGTGAGGCATGCGCCGGGTGGTGGTGGCGCAGGCCTTTAATCCCAGCACTCGGGAGGCAGAGGCAGGTGGATCTCTGTGAGTTCGAGGCCTGGCTGGACCAACAGCCTCCAAAACAATACAGAGAA